AGCCACTGCAGCGCAAGTTGGATCCCCGGTCAGGGAGATATCCACATGGCGCAACAGACTTCTCCTGACTCACCCGCTGTTCCCCTCAGCAGTGTATTTCAGTCAGTCTGCCTGTTCTGTTCACCACTCTGCCTCTGGTGAATCCTCTTACCCCCCACACCTCTGGCCTGTACCCCAGTTCTTGTATGCATAAATAAATAAATCTTTAAAAAATATATAAATGGTTTTTATATGTTTTATACACATTCTTACCACATCTCATCATTATCATTACAAGGTCAGAGGCCATGTTGTGATATCAGAATGTCCACTAGCATCTCACACTTGAAATATACAGATAATGGAAGAGAAACTAGGGTTGAAAACTCCAGAGCAGGGCCTCCCTGGTGGTGCAAGGGGTTAAGTCTCAGCATTATGAAGCTATCGGCAGCCACTGCAGCATGAGATCCATCCCCAGCCAGGGAGCTAATCCACATGGCAAAGCAGACTCTCCAGTCTCACCCACTGCTCCCCTCAGCAGTGTATTTCAGTCAACCTGCCTGTTCTGCTCCCTACTCTGTCCATAGTGGATCTTCTCACTCCCCCCCATACCTCTGTCCTACATCCCAGCTCTTGTATACATACATAAATACATATTTTTAAAAAATCTACAGCAAAAAGCTGGTCTAAGGAAAACTTTTCTAGTAACTATGTATATACTTGTTAGTAAAGGATACTTATCAATGCCTGTTTTAAACAGAAATTCTGTCCTCTGAGGGATACACTTGGTAATGCAATCTTGATGATTAGAAGATTAGAAATACACCAAAATATTTATATATTTTTTTAAAGATTTATTTATTTATTTATTTATTTATACAAGCACTGGGTACAGTCAGAAGTGCAAGAGAGTGAGAGAATTCACCAGAGCCAGAGCAGGAAATAGAAAAGGCAGACTGATGAAATACACTGCTGAGGGGAGCAGCAGGTGAGACAGGAGAGGTCTGCACGCCATGTGGGACCCTCACTGGTGGCCGGGGATTGAACCGGCACTGCAGAGGCTGCGGGCAGCTTCGCAGCCCAGCGCTCAACTGCTGCACTACCAGGGGAGGCCCAACATTTATATTTTTTATGAGAATCACATAGAATAGAAATTTCAGAATGTTTAAGTTGTGTAGAATGTTTAATACTGGGCAGTCTTAAAAAATAGTGAGTTTATATCTTTATATACAGTCACATGTAATATGCATACCAACCAAACTTATAGAAAATAAATTTCAATCAATTATGGTAAAAGAGAGAATGAGTGCTGTTTCTCTGTAGAAAGTATCACAAAATCACTGTAATATAAAGATATGCTCAAAATTATGCTGCCAACATCACTGAAATCCAAAAGAGTTATAAACACCAGACAGTAAATTAATAAAAATGTGTTGTTTTTCTAGATATTTGATTAAGTGTGTTACTTGGTGGCTTTTCAAAATTTATAATTTATTATGGTTCTTTTTTGTCTTATATAAAAATTATTTCATATTTAATTTTATCAAAGTAACATTGACTTATTTTTTTGAAAGATTTATTTATTCATGCATATAAGAAATGGGGTGTAAGCCGGAGGTGGCGGGGTGAAAGGATTCACCAGAGAGTGGGGAGCAGAAAAGTTAGATTCACTGAAATACACTGCTGAGGGGAGCAGCTGGTGAGACAGGAGAGGTCTGCTGCACTATTTGGATTGCTCCCTGGCCAGCTGTGGACTGAATTCTTGCTGTAGTGACTGCTGATAGCTTGATAGCATTGTCTTTAACCCTTGAGCCACCATGGAGGGCCCTAAAGTAACATTGGTTTATAACATCATGCAGGTTTCAGGTGTAAAGCATTATAAAACATCTGCATATTATGTTCATCATCAAAAGTCTGTTTTCTATATTATTTCATAAAGAAATTCTATGTAAATTTGGTGCCCTTCAATACAAAATCTGGGGCCTCCCTGGTGGCGCAGGCTGTTGAGCGCAGCTCTGTGAAGCTGTCCCCAGTTCTGCAGTGCCGGTTCCATCCCGGCTGGCCTCGGAGCAACCCACATGTCGAGCAGACCTCTCCTGTCTTCCCCGCTGCTCCCCCCAGCAGTGTATTTCGTCAGTCTGCCTGTTCTGTTCCCCGCTGTGTCTCTGGCGGAGCCTCTTACCCTCCTGCGTATCTGGCCTGTACCCCAGCTCTTGCATAAATAAAAAAAAAATTAAAAAAGAAAATATGTATATGTATTCTGCTTCCATTTGCAACTATTTAAAGAATATAATACATTGCACAATAGCTTTGCAAGTATTTTAAGCATATAGAGGTAAAACTATTTTTCGACTATTGCTATAAGAACTAGGCACATGTAAGTGAATGGTAGCAGATTCCCAATGTTTCCTTAGCTCCTCAGCAAACAAACCTACAGTGTCGTTACTGCTAAAGCTAGGTGGAGGGAACATGGGAACACGGCAGGCAGTAAGTTAGAAAGGTTCATGTCTTAGGTAACTGCCTGTCATAACATGAGTTTGGCCAGAAGCTATATAGGCACACATGGTCTACAATCTACACCATCTTTTACAAAGAGTAACTCAGAGTTAAATAGCTCCCTGCTCTACTTATGTGAATAGTATGCCTACATCGGGACTGCTGTTTCACCAAAAAAAAAAAAAAAAAAAAAAATTGAAACTAAATATTGACGATTTAAAACTATTTTTAATTACTAATTTAAAGATAATATCATCTATGACTACTTTACTCTTTGGGCATCTATATAACTATGATATGATAAACTTACACACACAATCATACTTTATTCAGATGTCACATCAAAAGAACACTTACACTAATTAAAGTATACATCAGTTTTTAAAAAGTTGAGATGAATATGGAAATTGTGTGGTTTTAAAAAATCAGTAAAATTACAGGAGTTATATTAAGATGAAACAGACACTTGAAATTAACATGAAATTATCTCTTCTTAAGTTGCAAGAAAAAGATGACATGGTAGAAGGGGAATTTTAAAAGAAGAAAGACTGAGTTTCAAGAGTGAATCATAGTATTAGAACTCAGGAACCATATCATACTTAGTGGTGTGAAAACGGGAAAATGAGGTCACACATCTTGGGGAATGTAAAGTCGTACAAGCTAAGAGTTTCCTGTCTGAAGTAAAGAAAAAAAAAAAGACCTCTCTAGCATCACTACATGATCCATGCATTTGACGCTAATGCAGAACACTTTTATTTGAGAATATTAAGCCTTTGGTCTCTAAGAATGTTTTCCCCCTGTATTTGATATGACCTAGTTTGGCCTTTAGAGACATTGAGATTTTCAATTTGGGGCCTTTCATTTTTGTGTTTTCAAGATTGATGTTTATTGTTAATACTTTTTTTCCCAAAGCTCTGGTAGAATGGCACCTGAAGTGTATGAAATGTGTCTTTAAACAATGGATAAGCAAATAAATCATGTATTCTAACAAGCCTTTATAATTTTAAAATGAGGACTTTTGTTCCAATAAATGCCTATAAAACTGTTTTTTTTAATCAGCAATCATAACAAAAACAATTTTAAATGCTATCTGACTAAGATAACAATGAAAGTTCTGCTGTGATGAATATTAATAGCATTTAGTCTGAAGATTGAACATAAATACATCAAAAGAAATAGTCTTGTATTTGATACTTTTTGGAAATATTACTGATAAAGCAGTAGAAAGGATATTTCATTGACAATCCTACAACAGCCTTCAGCAATTGACAGAATGACCTATTAGGTATTATGAAACCTCTAATTCCTGCGACTGATTGATTAATTTTCTTCATGTAGAATGCTATTTCCACAGCATTTACTTTTTATCTGCCTTATCTCTTTTGCAAAATAATAGGATATGTTAAAAAGAAATGCAAGCAATCAGACATCAAAATTACATTGTTTGCTATTCATCATGACTAAAGAATATGTAGTGTTCTCAATCTACCACCAATGCTGCAATACTTGACAAGATTTAATCATAAGGTTTTGCATATAAAATGTATGCAAGTATATGAGTGCATATATCAGACTTGATTAAATTAAATACATTGTAGTGTATCATGTCAACATAGGATATCTAAGCTCGCAGTTTCTCAGGAAACAAGACTGTTATACAAAATTATGTAGAATTAAAAAAATAATCTCGCCACATGCATGTCAATAGCAGTCTTTTTAAACAAAAATGTTTAAAATCATTTTTCTATTCATAAAAATTTTCACAATATTTGAGACTCAGTTTCTGTGATGACTTGACTGTCTGCCCAAATGAAGTCAGCCATCAAATTATCCCATCTCCCTGCCCTAAAAACACACCTTGTCTCATGGGTTCCCTGAATAAGACTCTACCAGAATCATTAGGTGAATATTATGTGACAGAGATCATAAAAGAAAGTGATGCAGAAAATATATCTTAATATATACTGTATATTATATAGAATATGGTATATATGTAACATATATTAATATATTTAGCACTGTGTTCTACATTTTTAATGTTGATGTACATTAAATTGTATATCAAACTTTATGATAGATGAGATTATGAGTATAAGCATTGTGGTTACTGGGCAGCAAGTAGTTTTTCCTAAGAATGCTGTCATTGACATGTTTTCTCCAAATTGATCCTCTCTAAAAAGATCCATTACTTTTTTTTTTTTGAGTGCCAATAAAACTGTTTATTTATAACATGTAAATAAGGAAGCTCAGGCCATCGGCAACCCAGTGAGGCCCCTCCCTGGCCTCTTGGAGTAAACATGTGAAGAAAGACACTCTCATGAGGAGGCCAGTTTTCTGGCCCGTGGCTTCTAGGAAGACCTTCAGGTCCCTGTGGAAAGACCCCAGCTCTCTATCTGGGTCTTCCAATAGCACACTGCTGGACACCCAGGAATAGTTTTTCCAGCTTCTGCTCTTCAAAATCAAATGGGTCCCCACATTACAAGCAAGAAGCAAAGGGTCCACCATGTAACAAACACCCAGTTCACCTGATGAAAGATGGTCCGGGGCTGCTGGTCTCTGAGCCAGGGGCACGCCGGCACCTCTACATATGGAGCCATGAGGGAGACTATGCTGTAAACAACTCCAAGTTCCAGCCAGGACCACTCCCCTGGCCACCAGCCACTGCTCTTCTGGAGCCTACCAACAAGAGTCATGAATAGTACCTCCTTAGGCCACATCCCTGGGAAGAGGACTCTGAGCAGGACAGTTGGTTCTGGGGTTGGGGTCTACCTCTCTGTACACTGGAGCATGTGGCTGTCAGAGATAAGTTGGCCATGTGCTGGGTCTTGTGCTGGGTGTTCTAATGGTGTTTCAATGGTGGACAATGGAAATAGAAGGTTCCTGGAACTCAGAGCAGCCCAAGGGGCAAGTCCCAGGACAGATGTTCTATAGGGGACAGTGGAAACACCAAGTTCCTAGAGTTCCTGGTGGCCCAAGGGGTGAGTCCCAGGACAGATGTTCTACTGGTGGATGGTGGGGATACCAGGTCCCAGGAGCTCATGGTATTCCAAAGGGAGAGTCCCAGGACAGATGTCTCACTGGTGGTGATAGGTAACTCCAGTTCCCACACATAGCTCATTTGGGTGTAAATAGCAGCTGCTACATTTGATGATTCAATGGAGGCAACCCCAGGTCCCACACGTAGCTCACAGTGGCATAAATGGTATGTGCTGGGCCTGGTGTCATGGCCGTGGCTGGTGGGATAGCTGATGGGCTGGGTGTCTGTGTGGGTGCTGGCAACACACCAGGTCTTTACCACACCAGGAGCTCAAGTTCCTAGGATCTGGGTCTAGCAGTGGTTCTGGGCGGGGAGCCTCAGCAGGGCCTGGTCACAGCCCCGTGTGGTGGGTGGTATTTCTGTTCAGGTGCTGAACTTGGGCTCCCAGGCCGGCTGCCTGTCCTGGGGAAATCCAGGGACCTGTCTTGGGTGCTGCAGGCCTGAGACCACAGTGGCTTGTGCCATAGTGAGCTGGAGGCCACTGCTATTCTCCCCACCTGGCCAAAGTCCTTCTGTGATGGAACCAGGTAAGTAATCAGTTTGGCCAGGGTCCCTGAGACACCTAGAGGGTGACTAAACACCTGCAGTCATCTAGTGCGGGTGCGGGGACTTAAGGGGCTGCAGAGAGGTTCAAAGGTGTGTGCCAGCATGAAGGTCAAGAAGAGGGTTTGGGCCTGTGGCCTGGGACAGGCCGAGTGGCCCGGGACAGGCTGAGTGGGTCTGGAGCCCCAGGCAGAGTTGGACGCCATAGCACAGAGCAAGGCAATGAGCAGCTGCTCCAAGAGAGCCATCGCTCCAAAGTGAGGAGTAGGCCCAGCGACCGGATTTGGATACCTTCACAGATTGAACTCTTGTGAGTCACAAGGCCTCCTCTGACGTCACCCTCCCAAGCCAGCCAATTGTAAGGCCCATCTCACCTGGGTCTTGCTGGTGCAACCAATCAGTAGGCAGTTTGGCCAGCCAATCACCTCACAGCTCTCACCTAGCATTCCTGACTTCTCTGCCAGGCCAACCAGCCCCTATAGTGTGGAACTGTGGTTAGGTGGGTCCTTACCCCTGGCATCCAGGCTCCCACTGGGGCTGTGGCCTGCCCAAGAAGGATAGCCCCACTCTGGGCTTCTAGGACCCCAGGGATCTGTGACCAGGCAGGGGACTTGCTTTTTGTCAAGTGGTGCCCACCTCTTTGCCACCCACCCCCCCCCACCTAAGCTTGGCCCGGGGGTTTCCATGGTGTCTTTGGATGCTGAGGTTTTTATTTTTTTAAGTGCTTTTTTTAAAATTTATTTTTATTTTTTTATTTTAGATTTGCCATATCTATGGAATTTAAGATCCATTTCTAACTAACATTGAGCCCAAATTTATATTAGTCATTTCAGTTCCTTGCTAATGGATATGCATTTGTATATTTTTATTATTATTTGCAAGAGAATAAACCACAATTTACTGACTATCAAATAGCATGTTTACATTTTTACCACTTATAGAATAGTATTTTACTACAAAAGGTGTTCTACCATTACAGGAAAATATTTGTTTTATCTTGTGATTCCTCTATCACTTGACTTCCCACTATCATTCTCTGTTTATTGACAATTTTTTTCATTAAATGTAATGAATATAACACTAAGTTGCAGAAACAACACTTAAGAAAAATACAAGTGATCTTTTTCTAAGAAGTCATTAGGCTTCATCTGTCACTTGCCAGTATGAGGCATCATTAACATAGTTGAATAAGCTTTTCTTTAGAGAGAAAAGAATTCTTGGTTTGTTTGGTTTTGTATACTCTACTATAATGAACAAAATTCACACTAATAAAATAGAGATGCTACACATGAATATCTTAAAAGAATTTAAACTATTTTCTGACTTGTGGATATCGTCTTACACCAATAAGATTAAACTTAAAATTATTCTGTCCTTCTGGATATATTTTTGGTAAATTGGATGATGTTGACTGTTTTACAGTAAAATTTTTGTTTATCTCCATAGTATATCAATGAAGGATTTGACATATTCTTTATAAAATATATTTTGAGTCACTTCTCTTTCCAAGTCTTCAAAGAAACTATAAGAAACTATAATGAGACTACAAAAGGAATCCTGAGCAGATATTCTGACTCTTCACTAGCTAATGACATTAAGCAATATATTTAAATGTTTGAACTCATTTTCCTCATTTGTATAATATAAACATAAAATATGTGAAAATTCCTACTATACTCATATATATATATACACACATAATTTTATATACACACATCATATTTTACATTGTAAAGAAAATTAGTGAATCAGGCAATTTTTTGCCTTCCACACAGCAGAGAGCCATACCTTGAAATTCTGTATTTCCCACCATTTGGGACATCTAATAAACAACAGATGGGCCTTGCATTTGCCACCATGTATTGTTTGTGTGGCTATGGGAACTTAACACTGTAAAGGGGACTAGGCAGAAGAGCTGCTGTTCTGCCTTTGTTAAAGTTGGAGTCTCGCTTGCTCTGTCTCTGACTACCTGGTATGGTCCCCTGTGTCAGCATAAAGGACTGCAAAATCTACCAAAGGCTCCTCTTACTGTCTGTAAGAACTGACAATGGGCCAACCCAGCCTGGGATGGTTACATGAAATGCATAAATAAAACAAACCAAAATTTTATGAACATATATAGATACATTATAGTCATGTATGTATTTATATACATACACTCACTCAAAACAGACACATTCAACCTACTGCTTAACAACATAAAATTATATCTATATATTATCCTTTGAGATATTATAGAACCTACTTCTACTGTGGGAATCCTTATCATTTAATATCCCCAGGAAAACATCTAAAATAACATCAGACTATAACTGCCAGAGTTTGATCTATTGGAAAAAGTTATTGAAAATCCTCCCTCTATTCTAATGCTTTGGGGAGATGCTAAACTATATCTTGCTCTTAATGTTTTATGTACAGGGCTGCTCCACTTCTTCATAAATTTTCCTAAAGCAAAAATAATAATTTCAACCACCCTCTACTTAAATCAAATTACAGACCTTCCTTGACTTCCAATGGGGTTACTTCTGAATACTATATTAAGCTGAAAATGTGCTTCCTATGCCTAACCTACTGAATCTCAGTGTTTACCCTAGTTACCTTAAATTTGCTCAGAATACATACATTAGCTTACATTTGAGCAAAACAATCTAACAAAAAGCCTATTATGTAATGAATTTTTGAATTTCTATGTAATTTACTAAATATTATATAGGAAGTGACAGTCTATAGACTATCTTTTGTTTACCCTCATGATGGCATGGCACTGGGAGCTGGGCTTTGTTGCTACTCTCCAACATCACGCGCTAGTATCACACCAGATATTGCTAGCCTGGGAAAAGATCAAAGCTCAAAAACCAAATAGAGATTCTATGGACTGTATTTAGCTTTCACATCACTGTAAATCTGAAAAACTCTAAGTTGAACCATCATAAATTGGTGACCATTTATACATTAAAAGGATGCTTGTTGAATCTAAAGATCCTTACATTGCCTTAAGTAAGGTAGGGCAGGTTGTAGCTGTGGAGAGAGTGTATTTCACCATGAACTTCCCTAGCAACTCCTCCTCTTTGTCACTGTGGCAAACCCCTATTTCAAAGGTATATCTTTGGGAAGGGACTTAGATCCTTTCTCCTCTAGCAAGCCCACCTATTTACCTATTGTCTCTTACATAAAACTTTTTTAATGTAACTATTGCTTCACTTGTACTAGCAAACTATTCTTGCTGGACATCTACTTTGCGCATGGCAATGTGTTAAGGTGCTAAGAATTAAAAGAGAAATTCTCTTACTTTATAGGTTGCAAGTATCATGAAAGAGAACACTTGTTCTCTTAAAATTTCTGAGCAGGAAGATAAGCGGAACAATTGGAATTTGTGGTGAATTCTATGGAAGAAATAAAAAACTCACACAGAAATTAAAAAGATGAATGGATCAGGAAAATAAGGTATATATATACAATGGAATACTACTTATTGATCAAAGAAGAAAAATTCATGCCATTTGTGGCAACATGGATGGAACTGGAAGGGATTGTGTGAAGCAAATGAGAAAAATAAAATTAGTCAGAATGAGAAAAATAAACACTGATGGTGTCACTTATACATGAACTATAGAGAAATTTGACAATGGATCAGAAACAGTCAAACTTAAAAAACTAACCCTTGAAAGCTGACCATAAAACAGAGGTATCCAGAGGCGGAGGGAGAGGATAGAGATCAAAATGAGGAGGGAGCACAATGGACTGTGGTAGTGGACTATGTGTGTTTTGGTGGTGGGTGCACTATGGTGACTGCATCTGGAGGGGAGGGAGATCCTATGCTTACAAAATACTAATAACTATGTAAACCAGTGGTACTTTAATAACTTTTTTTTTAAAAAATCAAAAGAATGAGAGATGCTAGGACAGATGTAGAAGGGGGTAATCAGATATTTTGGATCTTTCATGGTTTCTGCAAGACTGAAAACTTCCAACTCAGAGACTTAGTCACTTACTTATTGATCATTCCAAACATGAGCCCAAAAAATATCGTGTAACTGTAGGGTGATAGGTGGGAGAGTGGTGGCTCCCCAGCTATGGAATGGACTTTAAGCAAAGCCTAAGGCAGTCTCCATGTTTTGCCTCCTGAACTGATGGGCACAAGTGCTATGGTAGCAATAGGGACACTTGATGCCCCAGAACACAAGGCATGGGTGGTGGCCCTCAATTTCAGCAGCATATTAAAATACTTAGGGAATTTTTAAATC